TTCCAGAATGTTTAAAATTTTCAAGCAACATGATTTCTCACAGAGCTTCTTAGAACGGATTACACAAAAATCTCGGAATTACTGGAAGCTAAAAATAACATAGCCGAACTTTCAAGATCATTCTTTCTATATCCGACAATCTTTTCATACGAAACACGTGAGCGGTGTAATAATTACAAACTGTTACAAAGCGAGAGTGTTGTTGTCAAAGTGAAATGTACACACTAGTAATTCTAGTCAATCGCATTTCCTTTTAATAGAAGGTACAGAAATATTTAAGAATAAAACATTCAAAATTTCTAGTCATAAATTTATTTTCGAATATTTTGCATGTAACATAAATAGAACAGTAACATAAAAGATAAAAGGACCCTAAAAAAAGGACTGATTAGTGTTTCAATAAATTGATTAGCTCTATCAATAACTCATGATATTGCATCAATAACTGATAAAATATCAGTTACTGTAGTTAAACAGTTTATTGGAACACTAATCAGTTCTTTTTCTTAAAGGAATGCTGCTTGCGAGTGTATCGAATTGCATAATTAATGTTAGTTTTTTACCGTCTAAAAATTATCGCATCTACAACATTTTACGTAAATATGATCATTTTTAGTTAATTACAGAAACGTTTAGCTCAAAAAAAATTGCGTCAGTCACAAACATTTCATGTGAAATTAATATTTAGAGCATCAGTAATTCCGTCGGGAAATTACATTTTGAAAATTATACTTTAAGCGATAGAAGATAATGTTTGATACGAGAAAATAATTACAGAAAATGTTCCTATAAAAAATTTATATGAATACCACAAAAGAAGTTTCGACATCTTATGCTTCGTCACTATTCCTCTTCCATTTGCTATATTACTACAATTACTACGAACGCACGATCTGGTGTCGCGTAGGTGGATAGGTCAGCAATTCTCAGAAGCTTCAGTAGGCGTAATTGTTCGCCGAATGAACGAAGATAAACGAACACTTGCTAACGTATGTTTCTAATTAATTGACACAATGTATCATAGAATTTCCTAATTTATGTACACTACCATTAATAAATTCGGAAACGCTTACAATTTTTTCATTTTACAAAAACTTAAATATCTCTTTGAATAGAAATTTTTCGGAGAGAAGTTTTTAAAAATGCATTTTAAGGAAGAAAAATAGAGCTTCAAGCTTTTGAATTTTGCTTCTATGATCTTTTGTTCCTAAATTATATAAAATTAAAGATTGATATTTTTGTTAACATATTTGTTATTTTTTGAAGCATTTTATTTGGATGAAACATCATCGGACAAAATTTAAAGTACCATTTTAAAGTAGACTTTCTAAATTTTTAAATATTCTTCGAAAAAAATTGCTACCATGATCTTTTTCAGGTAGAGGCTTCAAAAAATAACAAAAATATTGAAAAAAATAATTTTCAATATTATATATAAATTTAGGAACAAAACATTATAGAAACGAAATTCAAACTTTAATTTAAAACTTTATTCTCCTTTTTTAAAAACTTTTCTATTCACTATACTTAAGTTTTTGTAAAATGTAAAAAAATTCAAGTGTTTCCAATTTATGAACAGAAAGAGTTTAAATGAAAATAATGATAAAATACATTTATAACATAATTTATAAAGAGATTTAAATTTAATTTCCAGTCCATATCGTTGTGTTTCTTTCCGTTATTTACGTATTTATTAAATCTGCGTTTGACCGTTTTATTCTCAGAGATAATTAAATATCTTAAATTGTAAAAATTGATATTTCTTAAAGTTCAGAAAATAAATTGAAAATGTGTACATTAAATAAAACAATTTTTAATCGAATTCTAAAACTTTTAATTTAGCACTTTTACAACTATATTGTTTATTATTAAATAATTATAAATAATTAATCTGAAAATCTTTATTCATTTTTGTAGAAATTAATATTCGAATAAATGCAATATGCAATTTCTTGAAATCCAGGATTTTTTTTACTTTTTAAGATACCGACATATTTTTTCAAAAAATAAGCTTTCGACAAACATATTCTCGTGGGGTCAACAATGATAGGAAAAAACGACGATAACAATTTTTATATCTCGTATAAAACAATACAAAATCTATTCTTTGAAAACAACAAATATCCTGTAACATTTAAAATATTCAAGGCAAATGGCTCAGCATTAATACAATTAGTTGTCCTTAAAAAAGACGAAGATGAACGAACAGTTCGCATCATGGAACTCTAATTAATTAACGCATTGTATTAAAGTATTTCTTGAAATTTATCTCACAAATCGCTCAAGTTTACAAAAATTAAAAGTCGCAAGGATCGATAAATATCAAATTAGCTGGCAAAAATGATAAAATAAAAAATTGACATTTTAAATAATTCAAAAAAATTTCTATTAAACCAAAAAAGTTTTTCGTACAAATGTGTCTTGCTTAATATCCAAAGATATTTTTTGGAGTAGCAATCGATCGTCTAGACCAGATGAAAGCACACATTAATCACTTTGAGAAAAGAACACTTCCCGTGCTTTCTTGCGGCGTGGGATGACTACGATTTTTACCACCATTTTCCATTCCGACTGACGACGTCTGCAACGGCGCCGGATGCACCAGCTCGGCCAACTGCGTTGCCAGCCGGCGGTGGGATGCTAATTAATCAACACGATACGTCATGACAGAACGACCTCCGGACACGCGTGGACGAGGTGGGTAACTTCCTAATTTACATTTTACACGGGGCTAACATGCACAATTTGCTAGTGCAGGTTGAGACAGCTTTTGACGCGCTGCGACTGCAGCGGGGAATGTTTCTATTCGATCTCGGTCAACATACTTGTTCATAATGGAATTTTCATGTTGTTTTCGAACTTAAAAATATTCACGACGTTGCAACGCGATTGAGAGCGGAACGAGAATTTTGAACGATTATTATTTTTAACTGACACGTCGTAATTAATTAACGTTTCGCAAAGCGAGACGAGAGGGAACCGGCAATTTACATTCCGTTCAAATTTATTACAACTTATTCCAACGACACAAGCGATCATAATAAATTTAAAACTCAAAAGAGATTCAAAAATTATTTTTAAATGATTAGTTATTGAACTGACCGTTTAATTTTCACAATAATATTTTTGAAGAAAAAAAATCGTTAGTTCAAAACATGTATCTCGTTATTAACACACTTGAAAAAAGAACCTCGTTATTAACACATAATTTCTAAAAGAGAAATTCGATTACATTATTTTTGCAACATTTTTCTACCTTTAGAAAATGCAACCTTTTTAGAAGATTATTAGACCAGAAGATATAAAAAGAATACGAATCTTCAGTTACAATATAATTTTGAATATCATAATACCTTCTGCATAATAATGCATCGCAATAGTCTACGTTTGTTTGCTTAATTTTTAGAGGCTATACATTTCATTTCCGAGATTCAACCAGAGATAACGATGCTTGTTATTCTTTCATTTCTAAAGAAGGTAGAGACAAAGACAACGCGAAGGAACGTCAAGACGACGTATTCATGCGCGCACGGTTCAATATAATAAAAACATTATTGTAACGCGCAAATATTTATGCAAAGGCGATTTGCTGAGAACGGCACGCGCTCACATTTTGACTTCCAGCTGATGGCATCAACGTGCCGCTAACGAGGCGCGAGACATCGCGTCGCTCTGGAAGCATCGCGGGTTGACGTCAATATTGAAACGCCGCGTCCACCCTTTCTTCCCATCCCCCTTTGTCACTCCTGCTTCCTCTCCTGTGTCTCCTCCCGGGATTGCGGGTGCTCTACATCTGCCTACTCCATTCAAAGCTCAAAACTCGACCAGGCGCTCGCGCCGATCCCGGAAGTGAGAGAGCGACGTCGAAGAGATGAAGGATCGCGATGAACATCCACACCGGAAAGCGAAACTCGCCCTCCCTCGTAATCCGGACAGTAACCTTGATATTTAACCGTCCGGCGCGATATTCGGAAACCGAATTCGAATCTAAGCCTCGGCGAACAAATAACAGGGATCATCGCGAAATAGAAATTTTCTCTATAGATATATAAACAGCAAAATTGAAGAGCTTTTCTTGGCTCAAGAATATCGTTCTCTAGTGATTTGACAAATAATATTAAAGAATTTCGAGATCTGATTCGAATGGAAGGAACAGGATTGTGACAAGCATATTTATATAAACAAAATTTGCTGGTGATAATCTCTTTGCGCAAACTTCAAGAAATTTATCTGTTTACGAATAGAAGCCTTGCGAATTCCACAACTTGCACGAACAGATGATTAATTACAACCACTCACGCGAAATTGAAAACTTCAAATTTCAGGAATTTCGCGTATGTTTGATGAACAGGCCGATTTTCCATGATTTTGCACAGATCATGATTACCAAAATCATGAAGATTCAAGATTCATAAAATTCTGGAGAGCAGCAAGTTCTTGAGTTAAGTTATTGGCTTCATTAGAAATCAAAATTCACCAATGCGAATTATACTGATACATTTTTTCAATCGCAAGTCCAACAAGTCATCATACAAATTGTTACAAATCATACAATAAGAAGTCGCGTGATAAAAACAAATCACTATGACATCATCAATCAAAAAAATGACCGACTACTGTTCAGAATGATTCAGTTATTCGGCAACGATTTTAATTATTGTCGAAAACGAGACTAAGAAGAAATTAATCGATGCTATACCTATAAAATATATATGTACAACGATACATTCTATGGCTTTATCGTGCGTTCACAGTATCGGAAAGAAAGAAAAATGGAAGCTCGGAGCAACGAGTGACGCGTGACGTCGACGGACACTTGTGGAAGGGACGAGTAGGAGTGGGATATAGTGAGAACTCGAAGGAACGTCCTGGCAGAAAAGGATAACCGAGCCGGTTAGCGAGACATACGATGGACGAGTTCACGTCGCAATTAAGGTTCGTGTGGATGGACATTGTCGGACTAATGGCAGAGACACTCTCCTGAAAGTGGAGTCACTCACCCGATGCAGCCAGGGCTATCGCTGCGACAAGCGTCCACGAGCGTCTCATGTTTGTTCGAAAAGGTGCCAGAACGAGGCACCTTCTTCCTCGATGACCCGGTCGAGCACCACCTCCTCCACGTTACCGATTTCCTCCACCTCCCTCCCCGCTACCACCGCCTCACCGCCGCTTGTCTGCTCGTCCTCGCACGTGGCTGCCAGGCGCGTCGAGCGAGGACGAACCTCGACCTGAACCACCCGAAAGATCAGCTGTCCTCGACGGCGAGCCGCTCGGCGCGATGGGAACGGAGCAATCGCGAATCCTCAGGGCTCGCCCGGTCGCACCTGCACCGGGCTCGCCAGGTGCATCGTCCTAGCTCCGTTGGGGGCACGTGACCGCCTCCACGCAGCAATGTTCCGATATCGTCGTACGCTGCTATCCCGTACCGGATGGTACAACCTGCGTGCACTATGGCCTGAACAGTTTGCACCACGACGCGACATCGTCGGGCAGCGCGGACATCTCTTCTCCCTCGGATCTCACGAATAGTCCCCGACAACAACGTCGGTCACGAGCGATCAGGGGATATCAGTCGAGCCTCGACCAGCGCAAGTGATATTACGAGGCTTGATATATATTTGCTGTGTATGTAGAAAATGGGCTCAGGAACGCATCCGCAGTCCGATCGTCGGTTCGTCCCGTACGTCGAGCTTCCCGCGTTCGCTCGGCTGCTGCAGCATCGGGTCAGGGTGAATAACGGAGGGAAAAGTGGTTCACCCTTGGTATTGCGGGTCTCGGAACGTGTGCAATCGGCAGCACCGCGAGAACATCCCTGATCTTTTCCTCCCGCTATAATGAATAAGCGCGCGTCAAATAGACTTTTCTAAATCTCGATCGCGGGACCTACTGTATATCACTCTCTCCCATCAAGGGGGTTGTCAGGTGCGGCCTCGCCGGCGACCAACGCTGGACTGATTCTCATTTAGCTGCAGCGCCGCGCGGTACCGCCGCTTCAACCCGCTTTGGCGCTAGCTCTGTGGTAGCCTACCGCCACCGTTCATCACCTTCTCTCTCTCTCTCTCTCTCTCTCTCTCTCTTTCTCTCTCTCTCTCTTTCTCTCTCTCGGTCACTCGTGATACCTCCGTTCTTTCGTTCTCTCTTTCTCTGTCTATCTTTCTCTTATTCCTCTCTCGTTTCCATCTTCTTTGTCTGGTCCATGTATACCTACTAGTCACCGTGCGCGTTTAGATCCCACCCCTCTCCATCATTCTACACCTCCCGTATCATCATTCTATCTCGATCACCGACGCTGTCCGTCTCTTGCAGTCCTCTCCGTCTCTTCACTCCCCCCCCCTCCCTCTCTCTCTCTCTCTCTCTCTCTCTCTCTCCCCTCTCTCTCTCTCTTCTCTCCATCCCTCTTCTTCTTTCTTTCTTTCTCACCAAGCTCGCTCTTGTTCTCGTCATATATACATATCTTCTCCCCCTACGACTATCCAGTAACTCTCTCTTCATCCCACGCTCTCCCTCGCGTTCAACCCTCAGCGGCCCACATCCGCGCATCGTGGGGTAGCGTGGTACACCATGCGGTACGACCTGCCTGCCCTCTTCCCTCTCTCTTTCTCTCGCCCTCTCCTCCGAACCCTCCCGTTCAGCTCCTCGCTTTCTCTCCATCCCTCTTCCTCCCGCAGCTATAGTGCATCCCAACATCGTCGGAGAAGAGAGAATCGTTACTATGGCGAGATCAATATGATAGGACGGCGCATGCCTCGGTATCCTTATACTTGAACCCTCCGCCGCCACTCTCGCTCTGTCGCGCCTCTCTCGCAGTTCCGCTCGTTCCGTCGTCGTCGCACCTCATCCTTCAGCCTCGTCACTTCGCACTCCATCTCGGTAGCCTCTATCTCCGTTGCTCATACGGTCCACGTCCCCCGATGACGTCCTCCCTGTCTCTGATTCCCTCACGCGGTACATCCCTCTTCGTCTTGGCGCGCGTTGGAGGCCGCGTGCCAGACCGTGGGCGGCGTTGACTTAACTCAGTTCAGTCAACAGAGGGCCGTATGCGGGAGTATACTGTTCTGTCTTTTCGGTCCGGAGCGACCTACGAAATGTTCTCTTTTTCTTCATCAAATGAAGCCAGAAGCAACGTCAAAGTAAAACAGTAAAAGCTAATTAGGACAGATTTATTCAAAATCGTAACCACCAATATATTTTGATATTGGTGCAAAGATGACAAGTACACCTGATTGTGTACTCAAAACGGATTTAAAACAAGCGGGCACTAACTAGATATTTTTTAAACGGAAAAGAAACGAAATCGGCCGTTTATCGTGTATTTTGGCACGCTCAGGAAGACGACGCGCTTGTGTGCTACAGCCCGAAATACGTGATATGACTGTCGAATCGGCTGCGCGATGCGGTATGTCTGTGTATAACGGAGCACATCAAAGTGATATCGAAAAGACAAAATTTAATATTATATAATGAACCCTAGAACACATACTTTATAAAAATTCAGAAAACACACTATGAATCTGGAAGACTCATTGTAACTTTGATAGGCTATAACTTCGGGATTCAGATTAATATTTATACTCTCTTTTTTTCTATTTTGATATTTTGAGATTTAGGAATATATCTACAATACATAAGTTGTAATTTGTAATGCCAAAATGTTTGATATTGTTAAGTTATAAAATGAAACTTTCTCTTTTTTTCTTTTCTTCATGTACGCAGCAAACAAAATTTCGATTGGGTTTGGGAGATCCATGTTTGTAGAGTAAGATTTTTTTCGGATTTGAATGACATATAACGTAGAAATATGATATTCAGAAAGAACATAATTGCAAAATAAATTTAATTTTTTTAATAACCATTTTCATACATATTTTAAAAACAGAAGAAGGTAGAAGACTATGCAGTTGGAAGTGCGTAACCTGAATTAGGCATTATGAAACATTCCTTCGTTTGCTAACATTTTTTATGAAGCAAACAAAATATCTTAGAACGAGACTCTCTTTTTCTTTTAGTTAGAAAGGGGTCGTGGGTTAACACTCCAATAACTCGATTCTCCTTTGTACAGTCTTTTCCTCGTCTCGACAGTCGAAAGATAATGACGTATAACAATGGTATTCTAATCTGACGCTCAGTATCAATATGCGGATTTCTGAATTAAACTACAATTGGCACTTGCACTTCTTTTTAAATATACAAATCTTCCCATAAAATACTTATTCTTACTTTAAATGATCAATATGATGATAAATACATTGACAATTTTTTGTTAGAAAACATTTTTAGGGAGATCATTATCCATTGTAGTCTCTAAAAGATATTTATCATCAAATTTCCTTAAATTACATAATTCTTTGCCGCCAAGCTGTTTCTTACAACTAAGCGAATTTTAAGTATTTTATCTTTAATCTTATCTATATGTACTGTTAGAAAATTTGTGTCGAACATAATACATTTCACATGTTCCGAACATGTTCACTCAACATTCACTTTTTTGTGTTCATTTAAGATGAAAATATTAGATAAACAGCACAGATGTTGTGTAAAAAAAATTACCACAAAACTGTGGAAGTATATTTTTTAGTATAATTAAAATTTATAATATGTTAAATTAACATGTATTTTATTCATTCTTAGAATTCACGTTTTAAAACACATTTTTGTCCATATAATCAATTAATGTCTAGCAAACACTGATTGGCAATGTGAACATAATTTATTCAAGTAAACATATCGAATACGCAACCGTTTCGATCCTAATTTGGATTCTTATCAATGCTTCAGCTGATCCAAATCAGGATCGAAACGATTGCGTATTTGATATGTTTATTTGAATAAATTATGTTTACATTGCCAACCGGTGTTTTCTCGAATAGGCATTAATTGATTGTATGGATTTATCTCAACCAAGCTCTAATACTTAATCTATTAATTATATTGTACACATTTTTATGTTACCTACTACTTACTTACTCATAAATTGTATTACTTTAATACGAAACGTTGAATATAAATTTCACACAAAATCTCTAAATAACGTAATCACATTATATTAAATTAACACTCGAATATTTTAAAAAATTCAATACAAACGATTAACAAGAACGTGAGTAGATCATTTCCAACACAAATACACAATGTTTTATGTTGTATTGGCTGGTCTAACATGAATCAAAAAATTCTTATTACTTGAAAGAATTTTTATGGAGATTTTTAAAATGTAGTTTACCAATTATAATTGCGGACAGATTTAAATGCTTGAAAAATTATGCTAACGCATTATATCACATTCGATTACAATATAGAAGCACAAGGATTAAAATTAAAATTGCGAAAAAACGAAAGTTAACATGAAATTAAGTGAACAATAGAGAACAATCTTTCTCTACTTAATTATATTGTAAAAATATTTAAATTACGAAAATATAAAATAAATCTTACGCGTAATTCAAAGTAAGATTGATTCGATTTATTTTAAATGTGAAGATGCTAGAATTGTAAAACATTCTATATTAAATAATATGCATCATTGGACTGAGTTTTCGTCTGACAAGATGTTCTAAAATATTTTGAGAAAGAAATTTCACGTTGGAATCCGATTCTATATAACATGCTTCAACGCTGATAACTCGTAGATGCATTGGGCGCACTATTTTTACGTTTGCATCACTGACATTCGAAGTTCCGCCTTTGCGATTTCTATGCCACCGCTAGTAATAGTCACGGTTTATACACTCTGCTGGCGTCAAAGTTCCAATGTTTCTCGGCTAGTTTCCACCACGATACCCCGACATTCTTCAACATTTACTCGTACTTCCGCTTCTGATTGTCTGTTGCGTTTTCACCTCAACGGTTCCTTACATTTTTCAATCCAATTTATTTGACGCAGCCCAATCGCGAGGAATAACCAACGCAACCCTGAGTTTGCGATCAACTAAAAAAAGCTATACGTAACTTTTCCGCTTTTCACAATACCTAGATTTTCTTTTTATTTCCGTCGCGCTGACTGACATCAAATCAGATGGAGTATTTTCTGTAGTTTCTGAATCTTAGAGCCATAATTATATACTTTTCGACATTTCGGTATTTATGATCGGTATTTCAAAAATTTAATAAATACTTTGTAAATCTACGAAAATATATTGTTAACTAAAAGTATATACTGGTAAGAAATCGTTATATACTTATCGAAATTACAAAGTTAAACAGTTGAACAATTTATGAATGAGTGCTTCAATTTGTTTCTAAATTTTTCAAATCGAACGACCAGTCGATGAACCAATCGAAAATTAAAATTTATTCTTTGCTAAAAACGGAATAAGTCAACTTTTCCAATGAGTCAGCGAATATAAGTTATATATATAATATAAGTTATATAAAATAAAAGTTTGGAGGACCTTCTGAACACAAAGGCCCTCCAACTTTTGGAAGCTTGACGAAATCGAAACGCGTGACAAATGTTATCATCTTAACGATAGACCTAGTA